AAAAAAAGGGAAAAAACTCTGATTTTTTTTTTACAACTGCTAGAGAGGAGATAAAGTCTGATTTTAAATTGAAAGAATGGAGGAGATAAAGATGAAATTACGTGGATGAGGAGTTTAAATTGGCCAGATATTTGACAATCCCTAAAATCACGAAAAAAAAAAAGATAAATGATAATCCTAATTAACTGCAGCAGTTACATATTAGGCATAATTGTAATATTTTTTACTTAGTCAAGTAATTTTATAAATAAGTATATAATTAGTATACAAGTGTAATATAAATCATATGTGGTAGTAAGGGGTGCAAATTCCTCCAAATTTTAACTGTACTCATTTATTTTTCAAGTCTTCATAAGCCCACGTTATTTGATTTTCCCCACATAATATAGGTCATAAATTAATTTGGAACTAATAGTAGGTGGTTGACTTATTGTTTCACGCGACTTTGCGTTTTGGGCTCGTTTGAGCTCGTCCGACCTCAGAATTGAGTTCCGCTTCTTCATGTATGTCGCCAAGGAACCCGTCTACACAATCATGATTGCCCCGGTCATGACATCTCTTGCGTTTGTCCAAGTGGGTTTGTTATTCTAAAAATCTCTATGTCGTATGTGTTTTGTTTATGTTGGGTTGGTATGATCAAAGGTATGCATGTGAACCATGTAGCCTATTGGCCTGAGCCGTTTTGGCCGTCGGGATTTATAACCGTTAAATTATCATGTAACCGTCGTGAATAATTGATTTAACGGTTACCAACCCCGACAGAATGATTCTGTAACGGGACCGTAAAATCCCTGACTTATAACTGAAAGAACTAACTGAACCATTTCGTCGGGATTTGTAACCGTTAAATTATCATGTATCCGTCATGAATAGTTGATCTAACGGTTACAAACTCCGACAGAATGATTCTGTAACGGGACCGTAAAATTCCTGACTTATAACTTAAAGAACTAACTGATATAAAAATGAAAAAGACTACAGTCCCTTAGGGAATGGTTCCGTAAGGAATTTTAGCCATAGATTATCTAAAATATTTATATCTAAAGGCTAAAATCTCTCACGAAACCGTGATCGAATTGCAGAATTTTCCTATAAAAATATTTGGTAACAAAAATTTGATAATTCAGGTGAAACAAAAAATTACAAAATATTTTTTAAGCGCTATATAGGTCACCATTTGAGATGAGCTCGATTCTTTTGCATACATACACCAACCAAAAATATTCACAAACAATAAATTCATGAATTAATTAAATAAATCATAATTTAATTTAGATATGTCCAAAATAAAAGCAAAATTACCCTGCCCCACCCAGAACCCGACCCGAATACCCTCTCATCTCCATTTCTTATTTTGACACGCGACCCAGTAGCGAAGGATAGGGGTGCCTACGGTGCAAATTTAACAGCACGAGGGTGCTGTGTATTTTAATATTATTATTAGATCATAATACACACCCAAATATTACTTCATTTTTTTTATGCAAAATTGTATATAAAAGCACCACCTTTCATGTTTTTGCATTTTAATCACGATCTTTACATATTAGCACTTAAGTACATGACCTTTCATCCCTTTGCAAATCGAGGCATGCCTTTCATCTCCGGCACAAATAAAATGACGTGGCTTGCCGGAATACACATGTGGAATGTTTAAAAAAAAATAAATGAAATCCATGTCGCCCATTCTGGTAACAACACATGGACTAAAAAAATAATAAAAAAACACAAAATCCGTGTCGTCTCTCCCCCAAATCGATTCAGCGATTATTTAAGCTCCCGTCACACACATGAACCCTAATTTTGATCTTCAATTTCTGTGAAGATGGCGAAATTTCTATGAGAATTGCAAAATTTCTGTGAATCATATGCTCTTCAACTTCTGTAAACTTTCTCAATGACCCTGAATTAGCTCCTCAAAATTCCAATTCCCCTCCCCATACGAACCCTAATTGTATTTTCAAAATCCCCATTTTTTTCCTGAAAATGTCGAGTGGATCTAGCAACCGAACCACAACTCTTCAGCCTCATATGTGTTTTCATGGATTGGAAGCGGAAATGATAACCTCGAACACTGATAAAAATCCCGCTTTGGATTTTCTGTATTGAAGCCTTGGATTTGTCGATTTTGTCTTTGAGATTTTGGATTGCCTTTACATAGGATTTTTTTAGGTTTGATTCTTTCTTCGATTTGGGGATTTTTATTATTTCTTCTCGGGGACGTGGATTTAAATTTTAGTTTCTTAATTTTTTGGTGCAGTGATGTGTCAAAAACACTGTCCAAAGTAGATTTGCAATTTTCTCCTTTCTTTTCATTCCACGTGTATATCCCGGTAAGCCACGTCATTTTATTTGTGCCGGAGATGAAAGACATGCTTCGACTTGCAAAGGGATGAAAGGTCATGTACTTAAGTGCTAATATACAAAGGTCGTGATTAAAATACAAAAATATACAAGATTGTGCTTTTATATGCAATTTTGCCTTTTTTTTTTTTAATCTAATCTATACTTATATAAAAAGAGATTTTATTTACTAGAATTAGTAGTAAGAAAAGTCAAAGGTAATTAATGCATTCTATTTACATCAAGTATTTTATTTAATTATTTTAGTTAATTGTTTTATCTCATAAGTCATAACTCTTTTTCAATACAACTTACCATGATTTTTCTATTGTGATTAGAAACCAAATTTTACGTTTAAAATCTTGTGAAATTATTATTATTATTTTTATAAAGCACATATTTTTTGTTAAAGAATT